GGAGGGGAGGGGAGGGGAGGGGAAGGGAGAGGAGAGAAAGAGGAGAGGAAGAGGAGAGTTCAGGACAGGACAGGACAGGAGAGAAGGGTAGAGCACTAGGGTCCACGCTCTCGACACCCACCCAGCAGCTCCTGTCCTCCACCTGCTCAATCTGCAGCCCGTGGGCCTGTGGGCAGCCGAGGCTGCCAGGGCCAGCCTGAGCCCCGCCCACTCCTTTTATGCATTGGGGCGGGGTTCCTTGGCCTTCCAGGGAGGCCTGGCAGCTGCTGCCCTTGGGCAGGGGGAGGGGGAAGCACAGGGAGGAGGGAGGAAGGGAAACCAGAAACAGCGGGGAGCTCTCCAGGCTTCCAGAGCTGCTACAGACTCTCAATTCAACTCTGTGGAATTTAATGTCTTCCTCAAACCCACAGCATACCCAGCCCTGCAAGAAAAGGCTAAGTTCAAAGAATGCTGGCCTAGGAAGGGACCTTCGAATGCACAGTGTTGGAACACAAACTGTCAGTGCTGGAAAGGAACTTAAAAACAGAGATCAGAGTGGCAAGAGAACCTAGAACATGAAATGTCAAAACTAGAAGGGACCCTAGAACATGAAATGTCAGAGCTTAGAATTCACCTAGTCCCAAACATCACTTTGTCTACTTGGAGACTGAGGCCCAGAGAGGGTGGGAGATTTGCTTAAGATCACACAGAACAGTAACTTCAGAGCCAGAACAAGATCCCAGATCTCCTAACTCCTGGTCCAATGAGTGCCCTGTCCACCACACCCAGAAAGGGTGTAGTTCCCTACCCCAAAAGAGTGAGAAACCCTTAGGGGGCAAGAAGACAAGGACAGAACAAAATATTAGGTGCATATCCCACGGGGAAAATGTTGGGTCCACAGGATATTGAGGGGAAGGGCGAGGTGCTTCAGCTGAGTTTGAGACCTTCACATTCTCTCCCTGCAGACCAGCTCTTTGAAGAGACTCTGCTAGATTCCTATCTCAGACCCTACCTCCCCCCACGTTGAGGTCGAATCCCATGGAGCTCTACCACCTCCCTTAACCAATGGCTTCCAGCATCCACTCTGCTTCTCCTGAAATTCTCCAGGACCCGACTTATGAGATCTCCAGGACCTTAATGCTCCAAGACAATACCAGGCTCCCCTCACCAGATCACCCCCTAAATTCATACTCCTCTGCCTGGCATTCAACGCCCTCTACGATTTGTCCCCAAACTCCCTTTCAAGCCTTACCTTCTACTGCTAGCACTCTGCACTCCCCTCTGTGATGTGGTCCCCATTTCCAAATATTCCCCTGGAGTAATTACCTCTCCTTACCCCACCCTTTTACCAACTATAAATAAATTCTCTATTCTCAAAGACCAACTGAAATGTCCTTTCCTTCAGGAAGCTTTCCATAGCCTCTCAACCATAAGCTCTCCTCTTCCCCCCACCACTGCTCTGAACTCTGCTTTTCTGATCCTTATCATCCTCATCCTCAGATTGCTAATTATTGGCTGTGTGACCTTGAGTAAGTCTCTGGCCCTCTCTGGGCTCCAGTTTCCTCCCTGATAAAATGGGGAGGATAATCCTTGTACTTCAGACCTCATGGAGTTGAAAGAAAACATGCTTTGTAAACCTTAATGCACCATATAAATGTGAGTTTTCACAAGGAACTGGGTAAATGAAAGCTCAATGGCACCCTAGGGTCAAAGAATGAGCTCGTGGCTCTTCTTGAGCCCCTGGATTGCTTGTGATGTCCACACTCATGGCCATCACCTGCCCACCTGGCCTCCCACCAGAAGCCTGCCACAGACTCACAGACTCACAGAACTAAAGAGGACAGCAGCGGGATTTAGGCCAACCCTTCCCAGAACAGAAATTGCATTCCTTTCAACAAGCATTTCATAAGGGTCAACTGGGCAGGCCATTGTGGTTGTTCATCCTCCAGGGATGGGGAACTCATGACCTCCTAGGGCAACCTCTTCTGCTCTTGGGCATCTCAGTCTTGGATGGGAAATGAGTATTTATTGGTATCACAGAATCTAGAGCTGGGAGGGACATTAGAACATGGAATGTCAGAGCTGAGAAAGACCTTAGGACAGAGAACGTCAGAGCTGAGAGGGGCCTTAGAGCACAGACATTATTACCTCTAAATGTCTCAACACGTGTTTACCTGGGTAATTGCCACCCCCTGAGGCTTACCACATTCCACCGGCTCCCTATTCCGTGTCCTTCCCTCCTGCCCTGCTCCCCTGGAGAAAAGAAGGGCTGGAGGTGGGCTGGGCATGGCACGTGCCAGGGCTCCCTCTTGCTGAACCCCCAGCCCTCAGGCAAGGAACATTCCTTGGTTAGTGTTTACTGGGGGTACAGGGACAATGCACAGGAACAAGTGAGGCCCGGACTGAGATCTACCTCACACCTAGTAGGTCTGCTACTATTCATAGGAACAAGCTGCCCTCTAGTCCTACTGACCACCCTCGATTTTACAGATGAGGAAACTGAAAAACAGAGATGCTAAATACCTTGGTGGTTAGCTAGGTGGTGCAGTGGATAGAGCGCCAGGCCTGAAGTCAGGGAGACCTGAGCTCACATCCTGTCTTAAACACTAGCTGTGTGACCCAGAGCAAGTTAAATACACCTTGCCTGTCTCAGCCTGTCTCCTTTTCTATAAGATGGGATAATAATTCTGATACAGCCTACTTCGAAGGGTTGTTGTAAGTCTCTAGTGAGATAATGTGTACAAAACATTTTGTGGACTTTAAGGCTGTGTATAAATAAATAATTGTGCCATAATCCTAATTTCATGATCTTCAATTTACCTCCATTGTTCCACATTTTCAAGATGTTTTTGCCTGATCTAAGTTGGCTGTCCCTGGCTGTTTCATGTCACATGGAAATGTGATAAGTTTATCCAGACATTGATAACAGATGTTCAGCAGTCCAGCCCAAGGACAGCTCCCAGAGACACTGCAGTGAGTGTATTCCTCCAAGCAGACCTTGATCCAGTAAGGATTGTTCTAGGACTTGTCATTGCCCAATTTTGAAGGCTCCTAACAGCACTGACCTCTACCCACTCCTAATCTCTCCATCTTGGACCCAAGAGCAGCCCGACAAACTTTGTCAAATGCTTTGCCAAAAGCTAAGTCAACTCTGCCTTCCCTGTCCCTTGATCTACCCATCTAGGAAACTTGTCAAAAGAGATTAAGTTCATCTGGTATGGTCTGACCATGAAGAAGTCACAAGGGCTCTGCGTCCCCGCTTCCTTTTCTAGATTCAGTAATTCACTAAAAGAGCCAAGCATGGCAATTGATGCAGAAATTTTAAAAAATGATTTTACCATAATTTCTCTAACTTCTATGTGTGCAAAAGCACTTTAAATACAAATAATCACAAGTAGATGTTAGAGTTTTACTTTGAGATAAAAATTTTCATCCCACTGTCTCTATTTTCTTTGCCTCAGAGATTTTTTTAAAATGCACTGTCAATTGAGGCAATACCCTTGAGGTATTCTTAAATTCTGATCCTTCTATTAATAGAACAGCCTAGAATTTTGTCTGGAAGAAAAATTAAGCTCAAACAGCCTAGAGAAGTTGTGTTAATGCAAATAGAAATGGGGGCCATTGATTCCCCACAAAAGGATTACTGCAGCTGCATATTAACTTAGTTTTAAAATGTAATTATTAGCTATATTTTACTGTGTTTTTATTTATTTTGTTAAATATTTCCTAATTACATTTTACTCTGGAGCAGACTGTACTTGTGGGCCACATAAGACCCAAAGGTCACTATTTGACACCTCTGGCCTAGAGTTTCCAGTCTTCAATCTCCTTTTAGAAAAAAAAAAATAAGGGCAAATTAATCCTTATTGAGACCTGGGGCACCTCTCCCATGCCCTGTGATCTTTCAAACAGCTTAGCAATCACACTAACCAGTTCTTTCAGTATCATGAGATATAGTTTGTCTGAGCTTGATGACCTGAATGAATTGAAAGCATCTAGGTGCTTTCTTACTATTTCCCTAATTATCTTGTTTCAGCTCCCTATTAGTCATTTATCCATCCTGTTCAGTCCAAACATTGTTCTCCTTGGCAGAGAAAACAGACATGTTCTGTTACGGAGTTGAGTGGCTCTGCCTTCTCTCCAACATTAGTTATCATCAGTCCTTACACTCAAGCCAGGATTTTATGCCTTATTTGAGCCTCCTCTTTTCACCATAATATGGAATTTTTTAAGCCCTTTATGCCATTCTTGCCTTTCCTCAGGGCTCTTATCTGATTCTGAGCTCCAACATTGTTAACACACATAAATAGGACCATTCCAGGCTTTTGTATTCATTGGTATTACATGTCTCTGCTACCAGTGTCTATACATGGCTTTTTATCCATATTGTATCCATTTGTATCCATATTAGCTTAATAACTTAAGGTTTGCAAAGCGCTTTATGTATATTATCCCATTTGATCTCTTGTCTCTTCAGGAAACTTTCCTCTTTCCTGATCAAAAGTGTTTCTCTTGGTCTTCGGAATTCCATTCTGGAAAATTTCCCATCCCACCTGGGCTGACTTTCTCAATAGAATTTTTGTCAGTGGAATCACCAGATCCTAGACCTAGAATTGTTAGAGACCTCAGAGATCATCTAATCCAACCCTCCCATTTTACAGGTGAGGAAACTAAGACCCCAAGAATAGCAACTGACTTGTTAGGCAGCTAGGTGACCCAAAGGAAGACCAGTTCAAATCTACTGGCTGAATGATCCCGGGCAAGTCACTTAACCTCTACCTCTCTCATCTATAAAATGGGGGGTAATAAAATGGGGATGGGGGCATCTACTTCTTGGAGTTGTTTTGAGGATCAAAGAAATAATATTTGTAAAATGCTTTGCAAACTTAAATGCACTATAGAAATGCTAGCTATT